GCCGAATATAGTGTGAAAATTCCTGTACGGCTCAGTTGGATATCTGTTATTCTAACATCGCTTAAGTGTTGTTTAAGGATGTCATTCAGTTGAATTTTGTTGATTTTAGCTCCCTCTAAAATCAGAGGTGCAATGTTAAATTTTGGTTGGCTTGTTGTTTTCGCTATTGAGCTTCTGCCAACGTGTTCATTTTGTTGTGTCGTGGCGGACTGTTGTGCTTTGTTGTCGGCGTTTATGTTTCTTCTCGACCGGCTTGCGCCAGTACCACCTCCTGCTTTAGCAGGCATTTCTGCAGTCGAGCGACTTACCTTTATTGAAGATCTGGCGCTTGGGACGATTTGTACCAGATAATCTTCGGGAACGAGAGATTCTAAAGTCTTCGATTTGGACCGAGGTTCGAGGTTGGAGAGAGATTGAGAGAAAAGTTGCAGAGGGTGTATAGTCTGTTTTTAATCTTATCGAACGAAATATATGCGACTGATCGCTACCACGTCGTAAGGAGGAATAAATTCCAGCGTATCTAGCTACAATCTAACTATGAACCTATTTGAATGCATGCACAAAGGAAAAAAGTGTTCTTTGATATGATGCGATACAGGATATTAGACCTTATATTTATCTAGATTGTTTTCTGGAGACTTTTTCCCCGACGTTGGAATATCGATCGAATAAGCCGGTGGTTCATCGACGACACATACCGCTGGTGCTGTTTTTCGGCGCTGACGGCATAACCACCAGATAACAATAGTAACAGCCATTATTAAAAGCAGTGCCATGTTAATGAACATAGCAGTACTGTGCACAGCAAGTATGTCCACAAGTTTATGGACTGCAGTAGGAACTTTTTCATTAATGACAGCTGTTATATTTTGGATCAATTTTGCTGCATCGCACAAATTGTATGTGATAATTTATGTCATAGTTTGCCACTTTTGAAAAATATCGACCCATACTGAATCAAAGAGAAAAAAGCAAATCTATTGGAGAAAATAATGTATATTCGATTTAGACCACGATTTCATCTTCACTGCTTTCGTCAATCTGACCACTCATCAAACTGAAAAACTCACATTGGGATGGATGAAATTTCTGCAAAACGATTGTGAAGTTTTCAATTCTGAATAGCACGATTCAACACAGATGCCGACAGACGTAGCAAAGATAGAAGCTCTAACAACTTGACCCAACCAGAATATCGAATGAATGAAATTAATTTCACCACATTCAACTGGAACGATATGTGCTCGAATCATCTCTTACAAAATCACGGTGACAAACTATCCTACGTGTCCAGACCACTCTACTTTAATTCATTACGACACCACCAAACACTTTTAAAATATAAATCCAACCTAAACACTAACCCAATTCAATCTAACTCATATTTCCAAACTAATCGCAAGGCACACTACTCCATCGTCGTACATACAAGACCCATATGCACACATACAAAGGATATCAAAATTTCGATATCCACTTCGATTGTCGTTTCCATTCGAGATATCGTTTCGGAACGTCTTCCGTCAAGTAGGGAATGTGATTCTGAGTTAGAGTCCATTTTGGAATCCTCGAAAACCATTCGTCGAGTGAGAGAAATGGTCTCCTCCATGTTTCGACATGCTGTTCACATAAACATATATGCTAGGTAGGTTGAAACTTTAAGATTGGATCTGACTTTTCTATTCATCAGAGAGATCGATGGGGAGCGTTTTACATGAGCACTGAATGTACTATGAATAATGGGGCGCAGGTTTCAGTCTACAAGATCGGCTTCGAAGAGGTTAAAGCTTAATTTCACTGCGGTAGAATTGCGTTAGTTCTCACATTAGAAGGAAATTTGAGTTTTGTTCATTGTCAACCGGGGCATTTTTTCATGCAGTAGTCTTCGCCGAAGTTTGTGATGGAAGCGATGAGTGACGGTGCTTCGGGTCGCCACTCATCGGTTTTGCTGTGTGGCCACCTGGTTTGGTTCGTTGCTAATCAAGATCAGCGGTCTTTCGTATTCATTTGCGTTGGATGACGGTCGCTGCAGTTTTCGGCGGTTGCATAGGATAGGATTTGGGTTGAATTGGCGGGTATTCATGATGTGCACTGATGAATGATCAGAACTTTGGAGTAGTGGAGTTTCGAACGTGCCTGATCGTGTGGTTGTGATGCGCCATGGTTTCAAAGGACTTTCTAAGCAATAGTTGATATTTTGTTTGAAGGACGAGTCCCGTTGCAGGTATTTAGGCGCTCTGATTGTATGCCATTAGCGGAGGCACCGTTGACAAATGCAAAATATTTATGCTGAATGTATCACATGTGGAGAGACTGCACCAAAGTGAAAAAGCAATATGCTAAAGATTTCTATATTTGTGATCCGTACCTTTCTGGTCATGCGTCGCACAACACGGCAGCTTCAGCTGCGGCTATGTATGCAAAGGAGTTACCAAATCTGATTTCTGCAGGAGATATTATAAAAACTTTTCCTTTAATTTTCCCGTCGCTTCCGTTCTACCTGCTTGAACCTGGGCTCCACTCAACCACCCACCACTCTGATTCATCCTAGAGATTTATCTCAATCTTTTGAAGTTCGAGAGTGCTATTGGTCGACTTCATAGATTTCCTGCAGCCAGCGCAACACTGTCATGAAAATAGAGAATGCGTGGACTGTTGTCTTGGAGCGCTCAGACGGCCTCCAGCTGCCTTCGCTATCACATTTCAGTGTTTCCCTGTGCCCACCCTCAACATCCCTCCCAAACCATGTTTTATGAAGTTTTCGTACTCTCACTAAAACTTGAACTTTGACCTTTGACCCCGACAGACACACACACAAACGAATTTCAGTTTTTTTACCAAATTTTTTGACACGCCCCCTGGTCAGTCGAGTGAATATAATATTTCTTCTGTATAACGTACATATTCATATATATTATTGAGGAAATGAAAACAATTGATTATTAACGTTGTAATAAACAGAAATATAATTATTTTTTTAATGAGAAACCTCGCACTGTTCTTTTCAAACAACTCGACTTTTCTAGAAATAAATCAAATAATTTTCTTTTGGAGATTCTTCGAGAAAGAATATCCTAATATGAAAAAAGTAGATAGCAACCGGTAATTTTCTCCCTCTTACTGTTCTTACTAACATTCATATCTAGCAATTAGAAAATGAATCAAACTTGTTTTAACGCTCAAATAAACAAACTTACATAGATTTTCAACTACTTAAGAAAAACAATGAAGTAGAACATTTCACTATATAAGACACAGAAATAGTTGTTCATAGTTGCATTCAAAAAAAAATCCACAAACATGTTAACTGATCAAGTAAGTAAATCTGAACGATTTCGAAATGTTTTCAAAACGTTTAACATTTACTATGCAAATCGAAATTTATCTAAATCAGAACAATTGATTTCAACAAGAATTGTCATTTCTTTACTAATATTATCAATCTTGATTATTATTCTATCGACAAGTTTTACTATTCAAACACAAATTTTTACTGTTAATTATCCATCGGAAGATGTTTTTAATCAACTATCGATAAAATTTCCTTTAAATTTAACGCTGACATGTTTATGTCAACAAAGTTCAATCAATCAAGGTGAAATTGTTTCATTCAATCCTTCATATCATCCAATATGTTCAAGTCAATTTGTCAATGAAACATTTCTTCTATCATTAAGTGATATATATGTAAGTGATTATTATCCATTAGATTATCGTCTTATGCTTTCATCACATATTCAATTTCTTCAAATATTTTGTCGAACGATCAACGAAAAAGTCATTGATGTCTTACGAAAGTTTTCTTCCGAATATTTTATAACAACTCAAGTACTATCTTTTGAAAATCTTCAAACTCAATTGGCAATATTAGTAAAACAATTGCAACAAAATACAATGGCTCTTTATAAATACGTTAATGATTTCATTTGGTACAATATTTTTTATAATGTGCTTCTCACAGGATTGCGTTCGAATGTTTTTATAGTGTCGCAAGATGCGAACTCTGGACTTAGTTACTCGGCAGATCAATACGGAACAGTATCAAATAGTTGTAATTGTAGAAAAGATGATACATGTGTTCATCCTGCTTATATTTATAATGATACAGGACGAATAGGAAATGTTGGAATATTTGGTACAACTGATGAGAATTCACATGTTATGTTAATTTTACCAAATTTAAAAGTTGGTTGTTTTCCATATAAATCTTTATTAAGTTCAACATTTCAGTGTTTTTATAATCAGTCATGTCTTAATTCACTTCAAGAATATATTCAAAGCTTTTCACTTATTTCACCATTAAAACCTTCTCGATTTGCTCCAGAAACGCTGTTAAATGATTTGTTGAACAGTTTATTGATTGAATCATGGAATGAAGTATATAATTTTAGTAGATATTATGAAATATGTTCACCAAAATTATGTACATATTCATATGATCGATCATTCAATATGTTATATATGGTTGTTACTGTTATTAGTCTTTTTGGTGGATTAAAAGTTATTTTATTTCTTTCAACACCATTTCTTATTCGATTCTTCAAAAGAATTGATCGATTCTTTTTCCATAGAAATCAAATAACAAATATTGAAAGCAATGAAAATCAAAATGAAAGTATAGCTATGAAAAGTCGTTTGACCAGAATTTATAAAAATACACGCCAACAGATTCAAACATATAATATGTTTCCATTATCTCGAGATGGAATTTATTCTACACGCATTTATATTTTATTTTTATTTCTTGGCTTAATTATTTTATTATTTTATTCATCAATTTCTACACAGATTCGTTCGATAACAATAAAAAACCCAACATTTGATATTTATAAACAATTATTCCAAAAGTATTCCTCAACATTAACATGTTCATGCTCACAAATCTCAATAAAATATTCCTCAATAATAAATATAAGTACAATTTTACATCAAGTATGTTCAAGCGACTTTATTCAAGGTGATAAATGGTTATTGTATGGTTCAAATATCTTCACAAATATATACATAATTGATTTTCGTAGCACAGGTATGGGAATATTTCGTGTACTTCAGAAAATATGTCATTTATCTATTGAAACAATAACCAATGAACTTGCTATCTTTAATAATTTGGATTTTTTTTCAACTGAAGTATTGACAAATGATACATTTTATACACAAATATTATCGATTATTGAACAATTTAAACGACAAGTAGGACGATCGTTTCGAAATTGATATCAGAAATATAAGTACACTATTCATTTAGACTCTTTCTTCTTTTCGTAATTTATATCAACTTGTTCAAGTTTCTATTCAATTTAATCATTTCATAATTCCATCAAGTTATGATACTGGTTTTTTGACATATAAAACTAATTCTACTGAACAACTGTTCTTTTGGTCACTTAAGAAATTTAATAATTATAATTGTTCATGTACTCTGAATGATTTATGTACAGAAAGTATAGGCATATTCTGTTCGTCATCGTCTTGTTCAACAAATGATAGTAAAGTTGTACTAGAAGTACCTGATTGGTATTTAAGTTGTTCACCTATCAATTCATTATCATTATCTTCATTGACATGTTTTTATAATTCCTCATGCGTTCAAATGTTAATAGATAGTTATTCACTCGGAATGCCTTCAACTAAGATTGATCCACGTGCGGCTAATGTAACACCATTAGATCCATTATTAAAAAGTCGTTTTAAACCTTCAACAAGATTAGAGGATATTATTTCTCAATTATTTGTTGAAGAATGGATTAATTCAACTAGTTTCGAACAGTATTATCATAAATGTTCACCAAATCAATGTGATTATACATATGAGGAACGTTTTAGCATATCGTATATCATCACAACGATTGCTGGAATTATCGGTGGATTATCAGTTGCATTAAAGATATTAGTACCTATTTGTGTTACGTCAATTCGACGAATTTTTCATTATTGTTGTTCCAATAAGGACCAAACTAACGAAGAAGAAAATAATCAACAAACACATTTCACTTCTATTATCCAAATCCGAAATAAACTTCAACAAATGAATTTCTATCGTCAAGGACAAATAAATAATGATATTTTACCAATTAAACAACAACGTAGTGCAACTCGATTTTACATAATATTATTTGTAATTTCATTCGGAATTATTTTAATTTTTCTTAATCTTGATACACAAATCACTTTAGTAACAATATCTTCACCAAGCTTATCAACATTTGAAGGCTTAAATAAGAAATATTCTTCGACATTAACATGTTCATGTTCAAATATTGCTATATCATATTCCTCATTTATTACAATTTCCGTATCAACTTATCATCAAATTTGTTCAACTGATTTTGTTTCATTAAATTTTATAACATTACTTTGGGGCAGCGATGATTGGCTGGAATATGGACTAAATTACGATAAAAAAATCTTAAGTAGTTTATTTCGTATATTATCAATGTTGTGTACAATAGCAAAAGATACAATTGAAGATAATATTCAAACATTTTTCAGCAAACAAATCATTACTTTGAAACCATTAACACGTTATTCATTTCAAAATCAAATTGATTCAGTTATCGAAAATTTTATCATTGAAACTTTGACTGAATTTCAATGGGTACATAATTATATCATTGATATGTTTCATGCAAATCAATTACAACATAAATTTAATCTAAACTGGAAATTATATCTAACAAATGCTCAAATGAATTACGTAGTAAGATCATTTCCTATTTCGTTTAATGAAAGTGGACAATCTTGTTTATGTACAACATCACCTTCACGATGTTTTCGATCTGAAATTATTAGCTATAATAAAACGATCAAAATTCCAGGTATCGTCTTTGGTTGTTTACCTATCGATGGTCTTCGTCAATCAACATTTGAATGTTTCTACAATTCAACATGTATAAATCAGGTCGCTAACTTTTTTAATATGAATAATTTTCCAAATGCTCTTAATCAATCAGTATCAAGTCGTTTTTATCCAATCTCATCAAAAAGAATTGGTCAGTTAATTGATGAATTATTTATTGAAACATGGCAAAATTCAAGTAATTATACGAATTATTATAATAATTGTTCACCATTATCATGTGAATACAGTTATATAACAGGAAACAGTATAATATATATGATAACAAGATTTCTTGGGTTATATGGTGGATTAACTGTTGCATTGAAATTATTTGCTTGGCATTTTTTAAATGTCTATTGGAAAATGCGTCGATATATTAATCATCGTCATCAAACAAATCATGTTGTTTCATTTAATTCAAATTAATTATTAAAAAAACAGACTTTTCTAAGGACAAATAAATCTTCACTTCTGCTGATCTCATATATCTTTTCTTTTAATAGATTCTATGTAGTTATAATACACATTAAGTCATATCGTGAAAAATACAAGAACCAGTCATTTGAACCGTTTTCAATCAAAACTCAGATGGAAATGTTTGAAAAAATCTCTGATCTCATTTTCTTTTCTCAAGAAATTATTATGCTGCTTTCCTTAAAGGATGTATACTAAGTCCTGATTCCATTGTTAAAATTCTATTTTCTCGCGTGTTTATCTCACTCGAAGGTTGATATTTGCAGTATGTGCTAAGCATATCTAGACCTACTAAACAGTAAGATTTGAGTGATATACTGTTTGTTGTTGCCGAGATATAAGTGTTACAAAAATCGACACGAAAAGTCGATTTCCCCTTCACATACATAAAATAGTTTCGGCACACGATTACGGCAACAAATAAAGAATTACAAACAGAAAACAACTTTGCAAGTCAAAGAAAAAGTCCAATCTAGTGAACCACTGTCTGTTTGAAATGAATTCGTAATGAAATCAACACAATTTTTCTCATAAAAAGTAGTTCTAATAACAATTTGTAAAAATTACAATTGTTTTCGTAGTCCTCACAGCTCGACAAAAATAAAAAGTATAACACTTCAACAAGTAACTCTCGTCGAGGCAGCCTCACTTAGCTATTTCTCGTAGAAATATCACTTGCGGATGCTTTATTTTTAATGCATTATTGTGTATATAAGTTTATTTCCAGCTTAGATTAGATATCTTCAAGAAATGCCAATACAATTAGAAACATTATGGATGCTTATATCAAAAAATAAAACGAAGAAAACACGATAGGCAATATCTAGTGCAATGAGAGAAAACACACAATTACATAATAATTAACGTAAGTGTAAATAGAGGTAAAGAAAATAAACATTTATAAATAATGATTTTAAGATAATTTCAAATTACGTTACGTTTTATATGCCTATAATAACACTAGACTTCTTAGCAAAGTATGGATTTACACATATTTACAAAATGAGAGAGGCACATTCTCGCTTTGTCTTTTGGTCGAGTTCATCTAGCCGTTTCGGTTCAGCGTCTTGAGCAAGACAAGGTCGTACTTGTAGAATCTTCATATCAAAAGGTCGAAGAATGACTATATCTTCCGCTCTCTTCATTCTGCTGAGTGGTACATATACTGACGCCACTCGCAATGTTTGAAGTGGAGATTGAAGATCGACTACAATTTTGTTTATTGTGAGCCCTTGCGCTTTATATGTAGTTATTGCGAAGACAGATACAATTGGGAGTTGGGTTCGTGTGACTTGAATGACTTGTGGAATTCTTCTCCCATTTTGTACTTGGTCGAGCAGATGTCCGAAAAGTTGCTTTATAGGAACAGTGAATTGCTTCTTGATTAATGGAATGGGAATTAGTTTGGGACGAAGGCCATCGAGATTTGTTTCTATTTGTGATGTATTAATTTCTACGAATGCATATAATGGTTTTCGTATGAAGATTGTACTTGAGGGAAATATTTTGCTTTTTATCTTTAAATCACTCGGATCCTCCTGATCATCGTATATGAGTTCTGGAAAAATTCCTTGAGTACCATTGGAAAGCCCTAGTTCACAGGCTATATTATCGGTGAGAAGCACAGGCATGTTTAGTATTAAAGGAAAAAGACCGGGAAGAAGTTCAGTCTTGTTGTCAGGTATATGGAGGTTACTTCAAAGTTCGTTTATTATTACGTCGCTAGACATCGAACACAATGTTTTATTTATCATACTAATACGCTTGACTGTAGCCGGTATCCTGTGGTTATATATTTTTTCCAAAAATCGATACCATTAGTTTAAAAAAACTAACATCAGATTCGAAGTTTTCGCTTCGAAATACCTCTGAAAATGTCTTTTCCGAAAAAAACAGTTATGGATGCTTGTTTGGCCCTGCGGACATACAAACAAACAATTTATGTTTCTAAGACTCTTCTCTACGAGAAAGAGAATAAAGTTTTAGTTTTCATCTTGTTTATTATTTTCAAAGCTACAGCAAGTAACTAAATCTTCATGTATATTCGAACTCGAATTAGGGATAGATCGAGTAAAAATGTGTTTAAGAAGGCTGAAAAGCATGTCTCAATGATTTTTCCGTAACTTCTATGGAAATTCCCTTATAAAGGCGTCTTGTAATATGTCGAGGGGTTTCCTTGTGACGAGTTCTCATAGAAGAGATGTATGTGCTGATAAAACTATGTCTTTATCTATTTCTTCCTCTTAAACTGTATCGTTCTGATATAAGACATGCGTCTATATACTCGTCCATAGAAGAAATTGCAAGAAAATATTATATCAAATGACACCATGAGGATAATTCATTAGATTATAAGAATCGAAAGAACTAATAACATGCATACAATGCATGTAAGCGACAGTGTCATATTCACGAGGTTTCTTTTTTATATGAGGCGTGTCTCTATTGTTAATAATGAGTTAGATCCATAATAAATCGTTTGTGCAACAATGGAATCTTGATAGTTATTTTTTAGTTGATGATCATTCCATTGAAAAGCTAGTTTCGAGTACTTCTTACTCGAATGCTAATTGCCACAGTTGGTCCGATGTGACTATTCTGTCTTGAGGACGAAGAATATGCGGGTTAAAATCTGTTCCTACACCCTCATCTGATCATGAGAGACGTATATTTATTTTTGAAAAAACGCAAAAATGATCGTGGTTATCATAAGAAAAATGGAGATTTGAAATCTTAAACTAATTGATAGTTCATTTGATGTGGTTAGCGTAATGTTGTATCTGTGTAAAATACTTTTAACTGCATTTAATGTTGATTTTGTATTACATAAATTTCTAGTACATAGAATATCAAAATTTTCGATGTCCGGATCTTTATACATAGTAACAGATACTTGATTTTCGTATGAAGCAATTCGACATGATTGTGTTATTTTATTGGTTTTTATTCGATATTCCAAAGAACATGAGCTATTTTTCGGATATTTAACGCATGATTCTTCCTTTCCCATTGAATTATAACAATTTAATTGAGGAATCTGTGTCGATAATGATGGAGCAATTAGATATGGAGATAATTCCCTAAGAATATTAGAAAAATTAAATTGTTGTTGTGATAATTCTGATGAAATTTTAATTGCTAAATCTTTAGCACAATCATCTTTATCTTTACAAACAATGTTAACATAATATGATAAATAAATTGTATTTGATCCAGTAATTCTCAAAGTACTATGACGATGATTATGTGAATCATAAAATACATTTGACGAATCACTTGTTAATTTAAATAAATATAGTCCTGAATGATACATAAATATAAGCATAGCTTCACATTTTCCAGCTAAAACAATTTGATTACATTTTTCAGGATAAAGAAATGG